GACCAAGAAACCTTATTTTGAAAAGCAGACCATACCAAGTTGCACATTCAAGACATGGCAGGAATGGGCAGCAATCCCCTTCTGCTTAACCCATGCAGTCGATGGGAGATATGGTCCAGGATGGGCATTTTTATAAAGCAGAATATTTTCGAGGTTATTCACCATCAAGCGATTTTGTGGAACACCCCATCTCAATGGTGAGTGTGCAAAGCTATGGAAAATAAAGTGTGAGTCAACATGGCTGTACAGTGCAGATTTAGAGTTAAAGAATACTTGGTCAGGCACCACTCACTACAGAGCAGGATCCATATGATAAAGAAATAAAGGCCCCTGATAGAAAAAAAGTATGAATATAACTTACTAGTTAAAGTCACACCAAAGTCTGGAGAAAAGCCACAGGTGGTGTACGAAAGCGCAACATGATGAAGATAGTGGGAGATGAATGTACTGGGAGTGGTCCACATGACGGATTGTAGAATCTCCTCCACCAGAAGATGAAGACGAGAAGCAAGGGAAAAAGTGTGATGTAAGATCTGATGGTAGGAAACCTGGAACAAGGTACAGGAGGAAGAAGGTAGGGAAGTGTAGGCCAGACGAATCAAAGGTGGACTCAATTATTAAGGGTAAAAGTTGAAAGATCACGAAGGGAGAAGGATTGCCATGGGATAAAAAATTGGTTGCTCATACCCCAAAAGGGAGCAGCACATGCTACATAGCAAGAAGGGCACTGACCAGACACAGAAGCCTATCCAGATCTGATCTAGGGTAAAGATGGGATATAGAAAAAAAAGAGAAATAGGAGATAAGGAGAACAACCCTCCTGAGCCATTGAGGTCTTAGGGAGAAAGAATGGTCAGGATAAAGGAGAAGTTAGGTAGGGTGATAATGGGTACATGAAATGTCAATGGCATACAAATCTGACCTTTAACGTCCACAGGCTAATAGAAAGATGAAATATGTTTTAAGGGACAAATGAAAAAGGAACATGAAGAAAGTGGTTAAAACAAATGTAAAGTAAGCATGGAGGACCAGATTAATGTCCCAATCCAGAAGGGTTGGACATTTGAGAGGTTGACTTATCTGGAATGAACGCATGAGCATGATCAGAACAGAGACAAAAAAAACCTTATGGTATTGATAAAAATAGAAGGTATGGGATAGAGCTGCCTGATATCAAGAAAGCGAGGATACCAGGACCCACAGTCGAAAAACCAGATGAGAGATTCTTCCACATAAGCCACAGAAGGCTTTTCAGCAGGAAACTCCCTCTTAGCAGACCAAAAGTGGAACAATTTCCACTTGCATTGGTATATTTCCATGGAAGATGGCTGTATGGAACAAGCTAATAAGGAAGCAACCCAAATGTGTGAAACCAGATTGTCTCGCTAAAGACTGGACAAAAGCCAGATGTGAAGATGTAGAATGTGTAATTGAGGTTGATGAAAAAGGGAAAGTGGAAGAGGGACAGGTGGTGATAGGAGCAGATATTGTAACCTTGGAAACCAAGGTTGAGCTGGCCAAGAGGGAGCAATCAGGATGACCCAACAAGGAGTGGAGTGGACAAGAGATATCACCCAATGAAGTGATCAGATTGCAGAGTACACAATAAGATATTTGTGTGACCAATCTTAGCTGAATGCATCAACCGCCAATGCTTGTGGATGGGGTATAGGTAACCAAAAAAGGGGCAGCTTTGTATTGTGGCTTGTGGAAAATGCATCCAATTGGGGAAAACCCCACCAATGGCAAAGATCCCTGAAAACAATTGGATCTAATGCGCACTCCATTGGATATATTTGGTCGAGGCATGAGAAACAATCCATGATGAGATTGAAAGCACCCAGCACATAACATGTGAGAAAACGAATAAGATGTACATGGGCCCAGTATAATAGATTCAATGTCCAAAAACATAAATCTCTGGACCGAGTGCCCCCTTGGTGGTGAATATGGACCACCACCATAGAATTATCCAAATGAAACATCATCAGACCATGAGGGACAAAAAGGAGAAAATGATATAACGCTCAATGTACTGCTAGAAGTTCAAGAATGTTGATATGCAAAACAGTTTCATCCGCATATCGAATGGCTCAAAGCTTCCTGGTGATTGACCCATGCCTCCATTCCTTAAGGGATGTGTCCATGAAAAGATGTAGATCTGGACTTGGGGAAGGAAGTGACATGCCTACTGACATATGTACTTTTTCCAACCACCAATGCAGGTCATCTTGCAGGAAAGTAGGAAGGGAAATGGGGTGAAAAGAGGATCCTGACCAAGGTTCCGTCATTCGTGAAGAACCCACTGAAGGGATCTCATATGGGTACATCTGAGAGGGACCAGTACAGTCATGGAGGATCACATCCCCAAAAGTGATAGAACCTCACGAGCAGTAAGTGACTGAGCCGAGAGGGCATGGTGAACCAAAAGTTCCACTGAACAAAAATGTGAAGAAGAAGGCAGAGCATGACTAATATTCATGTCAAAAAAGACCCCAAATGTGCTAGATATTGAGTGGGTTGAAGAAAGAACTTCTCCAATTTGATCAACCTACCAACCCAAGCCACCACAGAAAGGAGCTGGTGAGTATGAGTGGCTAATTCCTGTTCAGAAGGAGCCAAAAGTCCATGTAATAATGAAATTGCATCTTCAGAGCATGGAGATGACATGCAAAAACTTGGAAAATGCGACAAAACATATAGGGAGCCAAGGAAAGTCCAAAGGGGAATGCCTGAAAATGGTAAACCACCTCAAGATGTACAAACTGAAGATAAAGTCGATACTGATGTGATATCGAGATGTGGAAGTAAGCATTGGAAATCCCGTTTTCTTCCTTTCTCCTCGAGATCCTGTGACCTGTCAACATCTGTCAGAGGCAGTTTGAGAGTTGCTTTTGCAGCAGTTGATCAAACCAGTACACCATCCTTCTGGGGGTTCTTATTCCCATTTTTTTGTTGTCCCCAAGAAAACCAGGGATTGGTGGCCAGTCATTGATTTATGTCACCTCAACCACTTCATCATACTCCCCATGTTCACCATGGAGTCTTTTCTCACCCTGAGGTGGGCGTTTTCCCCAAGGTTGTGGATGATGAAGATGGATACAAGGAGAATCTAGAGGTGGGGAAAGAAACTCGATAAGGAGTCCTTCTGACAAAACCTGTATTATGTATTGATCATTGATGAAGGGACTCCAGCAAGGAAGAAATTCTAATAGTCTAGCTCCCAATGGACCTGAACCCACAGGGGAGTCACTGGTACTGTTGGTGATGGGGTTTGCATCATTGAGGAAATTTATGAGAAGAAGTACCCCGATGAGAAGGAATGGGCAAGGGTTGAGAGGATTAAGGACAGGAAATGGGAATAGGTGGCATATGAGGCTCTGACTGAGACAAACAGGCAACAGAAGTCATGAGGGTTGACTGCTGGTGAACCAATGTCACCTAAGGTTCAACAGTTTTTGGGACATTATCAAAAACATAATGTCTCAGAAAAGGTGCAAGACATAAAAACCTGAGGGTAAATTGATCTGAGCCTAAACTGCATCCCTATCTATAAGGTCCCAAAAATAAAGAAACCTGTATGTAATGATAGAGCTGAAGAAGAAATGTGGGCTAGAGTGGAGGAGAGAAGTGTAAGGGTATCTGCAGAAAACCCCTCAGGATTTCTGTGGAGAGCTTCTGATAGATGTATGGAAGAAAGATACCGTAAGAGGGTGGTTAGAGTAAGACATAGGCGAAAAATATTGGATATGGGTAAGACTAAATTGAGATTTCGGGAGCTGCCCCCAAATAGGTAATAATGAACCTAACAACTGCTGATCTAAAAACAGATAGTTCACACAATGATAATAAAGGGTGAACTGATCAGAAGTCCTCAGAGGTGTATGGCATGCTGACCCCCTCATTTAATTGCGAGAGAAATTTATCCACATGTACCCAAATATCAGGGGAGGGAGGAAAAACCAAAAATGGTTGGGAAGCTTGTTCATGTAACAAGGAAGGTCGAGGGGAAAGTGACAAAACATCATAAACCTGAGACACAAAGTCCGTAAAGACTGACTTAGGCCTAGGTGATTCTACAGGCTGTAATTAAGAAGGGACAGCAAACTCAAGAGGTGGGAAAAGACTATCAAAGTCCTAATCAGTCTTAACATAATTAGCCATCTATGGGCGGTATCAGGGGACAAAGGTGAACCCATGTAGCATTCAATTTCCTGATGTATAAAAGCAGAAAGATCTACCATTGGGTCACCCACACCCAAGGCCTGAGAGAAAACACTGGTCATTGGTGTGACTCCCAAGGTGGTAACGTGAACTTCGGAATTCATAGCACAAGAAAAGGTTCACAAAAATCGAGTGCAGAAACAGAGTAACAAGAAGGAACTGGTATAAAATAAAATAAGGCGAAAAGGAACCATTTTGTGTGAAAAAAAAATGTTTGTCACGCTGGAAGCACTAGGCACACAAAAGAGTACATCTTAACTTAAACTCTGCCAAACGAGAAATGAAGGTTCAGTAGAGGAGTGTAGAGGGAGTCACATACGTCACGTGAGCATATCATGCTACTATTGGTTAAGAGATGACGCATGATGATCTACATAAGAGACATGTTGGAATATAGTAATTCCAACAGAGAAGGGAGGCAGAAGGCTTGTAGCATGCATCAAGAAAAAGTTTGCATATAGGGGCAGCACTGAACGAAAATAAAGCCATTCTCTTTCACCAGAGTTAAAAAAAAGATATTGTTCAACCTCACGTAAAACTTATCCATCACCCTTTCAAGAAATGAAATAAAACCACCCTCTATCATTAAACTACCACGAAAAAGGTATTTTTCAACCTTCTGAACAACCCATTCCTCATCTATTTAAAAAGCCAAATACAACCATTCTCTTTTATTAACCAAATGTGCATGGGGTTGGTTCACTGTACTGACACCATATAAGTGAAGAAATGTTGACTGTAATTCCAAGTTTACTATACGTATCTATATGAAATGTGGCAAGTTTTTACTCAAACTTACAACTCTGTTGTACACAAAAAATCAGATGTGCTTGCCAATTCGTGTGTAACAGCAGGAAAGGCATACAGATAACTATCTGATTAATATTGTGATAGAACACCCCTCACCTCTGATATGTTATCTGCAAGGGATTTGAAAGGGGAAGAAGATTGATACTCAGAGAGATCAATGTGATTTTCACTTGACAAAACTATATGAAGGCCTGTGTAAACAAAGTGCACTCAGTTGAACAAATTCTTATTTTGGTAAAAAAGTCAATTGGCAATAATACTGATCATCCACAAAGGGTGGAAAGCATGTAAGTCACAGTTCCAGTAATGGGTCAAATCAAAATAAGAAAGAATAGCAAACACAGTTTGGAAGTATGGTTACCTGTTTGTTTACATAAGAGATCAAAATGGTATTGTTGCAATGAGATAATATCACCTGGTTTCTAATCTGTGAGGGCAAGTGGCAAGCTCAGAAAATGGAGCATACACTTCTCAGAAGTTTGATGTAAGAACATAACTCCACATGAGCCCCAAGATCAAGGACTTATTTCCACTTTACAACAAGCCAATGAATTCAGTGGAAAATTAGCAAAAATCTGGAGTTACAAAGAGGAGGTAATAGATGGAAACCTAGCACAAGCTCTGTACAGTAACCATTGTAGATCACTGACAGACATAAAAGTATGGGTTTCTCCAAAAATTAAACACTGCATAATAAAAGATCATCATCATATTACTGTTATTTTTATATTATTGATAACTACTTAACTGAAGAGTTTTGTTAGTAACAATAATATTCATAGCTCTGACTCTGATATTTAACACATGATACATATGTATTCACCACAAACAAACAAAAATAAATTGATATAAATATTCCTGCACCACTTGTACACTCAAGAAATTACTAGATAATCACGAATTATAAATCTTTATTTGTTAGCCAGCCTACTATTTTGAATCATTAACTTTATGAAATGTCACAGAAAAGTCCTCACCTGTTGATCCCGAGCAGTAATTTCTGATCTTAACTGGGTGTTTTGCTGTTCCAGCATCTTTATTTCAGCACTTAGATTCTCATAATCTTCACACTTCTTCTTTAATAAAGCTATAACCTTTAACAGAAAACAGTTTACTATGTCTTACTTAATTATCTTGTGATGATCCTTCCATTCTCAATCAAGTCAGGATGTTTTCTCTTATATTTGGAAAGGTCTATTCACAGTTCATACACTTGACCAAACTTGACCTCTACCTATCTCCTGTTACCCACTGATGCCATTTCCCTCACATTTAATCTTTGTGTCTTTTGTCTTTGTAAGAATATATATAAACCTTGTAATGTTTAGTACCAATCAAATCTGAATAAGACAGACCAATGTTCTGTCAAAACATGTAGCATGTTCCACCATCAATAAAACTTTTCCTTATTCTCATAAATCATTGTTTATGTACCTATTATTATATTAGCATAATGTGCTTTCTTTCTCAAGTAATTCATTTATGGCTAAGTGGCAAATCCCACTTTTATTTCAGTCTTCAAACATTCAATAATCATAAAAAGTATTCAGAAAAAGTGTTTGGTTCTAAAATTATTATTTTTTCCATTGATCTTTCTGCAACAAATAGGATCCTGCAAGATTTCCTTTTATATTCATTCCCTAGGCTTCATTTACGAGCTGAAATCTGAATTTCAGATCATTGTCAGTATACATGTAATTGTTTTTCATTTCTGGTCCAAAAGTAAATTCTCAACTTGTCTATTACTTATCATATTGGTTAATTTTCATACTTAGAACAGTCTTATATATCTAACCTTGGACCCCTAGATCAACAACACAGTATATTCTTTTTATAAATTGAAGACTAACAGGGAATTGGGTTTAGCATTAGCAAGGTATTTTCTTATCTAATAAATGATTTAATACTAATGACAAATTTATACTTGAAGTAGATCATCAATCATTGTTTTATCTGGTACTCCAACTTCATAATATAATGTTCATCTGAAACTGTAGTTTATCAGCTTGTACTAAGTTCAACACAGAAACTAAATGCTTTACCAATATATCTTTGTTAGAATTTCAAGAAGATAAAATATTTTGCCAACGTCAGTTTTAGTGGGGCTTTAAACTGACAAACACATCAATGTTACATACTTTAGTGCACTATAAAAATAGTCGTAACAGAGTTATAGAGTCTTATTGTACTTCAATCTTAATACTTAATTGTTCACCATTTTCTGTTGGACTCTTCTGACCAAACTTTGGTTTTACTATCACCTGTGTCATGTACTCTGTTAACCCTAGAATGCCAGCATGGGGTCACTATAACCCCATATAATATAAACCTGTTTACTAAACTGACCACACTGACATTCTAGGGTTAAGTACTTCACTTGATGCATTTTTCTTTGAAGTTAATTAATTTTCTGTTTTGCATCATTATGACATATATACTTCTCTTTGAGTTATTTTTGCTTTCAGTATTTCTGATACATTTATATTTTTGTGCAGAAGCATTTGCAATTTTGATAGTCAGAAAATGTTAAGTTTAAAGTGACTGTGGAAATTCTGTATATTACAAAGTTATATCAAGAAAGAATAAACTAGTTTAATCATGAAGGGACTTGTATCGCTGAAGTCACTTGAAAGGAATTTATACCGGAAATTAACAAACGACCAGATATGTAACATTTTATTTGTGATATAGCTGATTGCAATCTTTCGTATGGTCTGGTATATGGCCTTTTCATAAGCAAGTATCTTACTTTTTGTTGTACTACAACTTTGGCAGCAAGTCCAGATTCTGTATCTTGTAAAACCTGCAGTTGTTGGTTCAGGTCTCTGAATTCTTTCTGTAGTTTACTGTTTTCTTCAAATAGTATTTGGGTTTTTTCAGATGCTTTGTTCAGTTCCTTACTCATATGAACTGTATCTTTGACAGCTCTCTTGACTGTATCAGCCACTTGCTTGTTAGAAACTTTGCGAAACTCTGAAGCTACCTCTGAAACTTTCTGAACCATTTCATTCCTTAATCTGTGGGAACAGAGCACTCATTATATTTTACAACTATCAGTGGGAGTTATTGAATAGCTTATAAACTTTTGAATAATTTTTTTACCACTATACCTTTTTCTAGTTTACCAGAGAAATAAAAGGTTATGAAATTTTGTGCTACCTACTGTTTATTACACCAGCTAGCCACTTTATTACAGCCTCTACCTAATATAATGATAATACCCTAAATATGGAATAACATAGGCTTTATAATATGTAAGAAGGTGTTTTGTTAAATCATAGTTCATTTGTGAAGAAAGTTGGTCTGCAGTTGGTTTAGTGATGTTGACAGAGGATAACAATGCAAATGTTCAAGACAATTTTTCAAATAATCCAAGTGTTTCATTATTGTCTTAGAAGAACACTTCTCCATCAAAGCAAATAAGCAACACTCTAGGGTGAATATAATAAGCAACAATGTTGAGGTAAACTTTTTCATGTTGTTCACCATTCTAAAGGAATCAAAGGACCTAAACATTATCAAACGAAAGCTCCTTAATAAACATGGCAAAAAACATGCATGATATTAACAAATGTTTCAAGGAAGGAATTCAACCTCCTCAAAAAACAACAACAAGACTATTAACTAGGAATTTCAATAAATTTTGGCCAGCATAGATAAACAAACACATTATTATTTGATTTTCTATCAAATAAATATCTTGATTAGTGTCTGTTCCTTATTTTCCTTGAAGTATTCCACCTTAAAATGATGACATTGTCATTCTTAAGTCCTCTGTATACATATTGCACATTTGTTACCACCAAAGGTATGATAACTTATATTACACAAACCTAATTAAAACTTATTTCTTTAATCCATTTAGAAATTTTTAAGTATATTGTGAATTTGATTTGATATTAATTTCTTTTGTAAAATATTAAAAAACATAGTGTCAAATAATGTACTGGAACATTTATGAAAAATCATTAGTAATATCTTTTCTGGATCCCTACAACATCAGTTGTGTAAATGCTAATGCATTTTCACTGTAACTAGTTGGAAACATAGTACCAGTAATGTGACTTCTAACATAAAAAAACAAACAGAGTATCTTGCGAAACATGATCAAACAAAGTTGTCCATAAAAGCAAAACTACATTTTTAAGAAATATATATATATATATTTGCAAAGATTCAAGTGCACAAAAGCCCCCCAGTAGCACAGCAGTATGTCTGCGGACTTACAATGCTAGAAACTGGGTTTCGATACCTGTGGTGGGCAAAGCACAGATAGTCCATTGTGCAGCTTTCTGATTAACTTCAAACTTCAAAGCTCAAGTAAACAAAAATAATTTTGACACACATTCTGTTTTGTTTTTAAAACTTACTTCCCAGTTTGTTTACCATAACACCATAACTACACACCTATCATTGTCAATAATGGTTTTACGTTCCAATTCACGAAGTGTTTCAGAGTGTTTTTTCTCTTCTTCTTCAAGTTTTGTCTCAAGTTCTTTCAGTCTTTTTGTCATTTCATCCCTTTGCATCCTGAACTCTTCTAAAGCTGATAGTTTGCTACCTAATATTTAAAACAAATTTAGAATGTTACTAAAATCTGCTCATATTTTGCAGTAATTAGATCATATTGTATACTGAAGCCAAATTAATGTTCAGTTTTAATTGGCTACAAAATAGTTTTAAAAAACATTTAATCTTAAAATTATTAGCTATGAAATGAATTTAAAATATTCAGTTACCTTTATATGTTCCACAAAATAAATGTGATAGAAAAAAAGATGGAGGTCCAAAGTTCTTAATAAAACAAACATCAATAATTGGACTTACCAGATCTGCAAAATAGTCAAGATCCACATAAAATGGATTTGCTCCTTCTGAGAAATAGATTAGTTTCCTCAGATTTCTCTCAGGCCAGCAAAAACAATGAAAAGGTTCCCTTGTCACTTATGGGGCTACTTACTATAAATTTGGCAAATCAGCAAAGTTGTAAACAGTAGAGTACATGAAAAAAGGAGTAATAGAACAGGGAATTAAGTTAGAAGATACCTGAGCTTAAAGCAAGAAATCTGCAAAATGAAGAATATTAGTCGAAATGAGAGCAGAATAGACACAAATGAAAGAATTAATGGCAAAAAACAGACTCAACACTGACATCCTCTGGCTTGAAGTGCCTTAAACAATGTAAAAAAGTCAAATAGTTGGGTTATTAGGACCTGAAAATAGAGCTAAGCATAAAAGTGCATACTAATAAGGTCTTTGTTTTTTTGATGAAATGAGTCCTCCAATATGTCTTGTTCAAGATTCTGAAGGGTGACCAGTTGGCATACGGTAGAGCATTTTTTGCTACACTCAAGTAAATCTTGTATGCTAGAGAAGTGATAAGAATGGAAGCTGCCCTCTAAAAGAAGATTCATGTTTAGTCCACTAGGTTCAACAAAGTTTTGATGCAAAAGTAATCCCACTGGTAAATATTTTAAAGCTGTTTGCAGAAGCATGTGATATATCAGTATTAAAATGAACTATAACTACTGAAAGCTACATGTTTGTTAATTCTTCAATATGACAAAAACACCATCCATCTACTTCCTTAAATGTCAAATGACTGGTTCATTCATTAATATTGAGAAGCAAGGATAAAGAAATCCATTGCATCCAACAATGAATGGAAAGACATCCTTCACACAGAACTGCAAGAAGGATAAGAAAAATATCTCAAACTGACAATAAAATTTCATAATAGAGATGTCTAAAGTTCAGTGGTGTACGTATGCCCCTGCATCCCTTGCAATTGTGTGTGAGGGTGGGTGGGGGGCAAGCCAAAAGAGGACCTGAATCAGCCAGAATCATAATTACAATTATAAAGAAATAAATGTAGGGAGCCCAATTACTTTTTATGCAGGAGGGGCATCTTATTCCACTGCTCAAATTATATACTGAAGTCACACATTCAAAGAAAATTGAAATATACTGGATATCAAAGATCTCAGCAGAAGACACCATCTTGAAAAAGATGATCTGAATACTGAGCCTTTGACTTCAGGGTGGACTGTCTCATTTGTGGTGAAAATTACTTGCTAGAATACACTATGATGAAGGATGCTGTTTAGTGCAGAACAACTCAGGTAAAGTAGTATGTAATAGAAGTCTACAATGAAAATGGAGATGACTTGGCACAAATATTTCCTTTTAGCATCCTCTCTTGCCTACCTTTCTCATAAGAAAAATCTCCTTTCAAATCCTTGCTTGAAATACTGCCTTGCTAACTTCTTAACCAGCATTTTTGATTCCATTTTAAGGTGCCAAAAAGATTTCAATGCAACTGCCTTGTTGGATATACAAAACTGTTTAGTGTAAGAGTTATTATTTAGTTCATTTAATGATCTAATATTTAATGATTATTCAGTTTTTATAACAAGAGTGTTAAAAGTTAATTATTCTAAAAGTGATAGTTGTGACAAGTGTCATTACATAACTTGATATGAGTCGTAAGTTGTGTATGCAGTTTAATTGTTGTACTGGGCTTTAGTAGTATTGTTGATATCATCTTACTTGAAAGCTTCCAAGTTTTTCTAGTTATGTGTAATTTTGTTGCTACTAGAAGGCTTATGATTTCTAGATTATTCTGTCATGTGTTATAAATACATGCAGATACAGAGAGGAAATCAAGAAAGCAAGTTAAGTGAGAGATAATTAGACAGATCTAGACTGGGTGATTGGCAGTTTAGCCATTTGAATTTATTGCCAACAAGTCACAGACATCTACTGTAGAAGAATTGGACCCTATAAAAGAACCTGACATGCCTATTGGTGTATGGGGAAATTAATGCAACTCGGAACATGAACTTAAAATAATCTCATGCCTTTTTCTTAAACTTAGAATGTTTTTCTGGCAAAATAAAAAATCTCTCATATATGGCATTCAGTGGACAACATGTCACCACACCATAATAAACAATGATCACTAATAACTCTTTTTCTCTATTCCACCATTGCTACTGTAGAGATTGTGACACATAGACAATACTACTATATAAGGAAATATTAAGTAGAGATAAGTCTATCCTAAACTTTTATTATTAATATGTTTATAATTATATTTCCAAAATATTTTAAACAATTAATAAAAAAGGACTGTAACTCTAAAAAGTGCAGAGTGCTTCAATAAAACTTTTCAACTAATAGCCTCTTCTAAAACAAAAACATAATACCATGTTTTACATAATCACAATATGCTACAATAATACCTACTGTTTGACAATTTCACTAATTTTTTAGGAAATTTTCAATCAGAGCAGGCTAATTCGGTATTTTCATGCTAATTATTACTGCATGAGGTAGTATAAAGTGACTGCATTTGTCACATGCAAGAAATATTTTTAGCCAGTAAAAATGGTAGAGAAAAAATACTGGCAAAAGGATCTTCTGTGTGGTTCTAAAGTGTTGCATAGATGGGTAAATGTATTACTTCTCAGGCATTTGGCTTAGTGTGACTGTATAGTGTGGCTATACAAACAAGTGAAGCCATAAAGTATTGGAGAAGTATTTGTAGGAAAAAAAAAGAACCGATACATGGAGGAATTATCTCAAACGTGTATACCAAGGAGAATGCAAAAACCCATCTGACTGAGAGTCCATCCTGCAAATGAGTTGAAAAAAGTCCCAAGTGAATCAGATACTGAGGGGTTGATCAAGATGGATTTGGAGAACTTAATCAGCCAACTAAAACAAGACAACTTCTGCAGGAGAAGGAAGGTCATAGCTAAGGATGATTTCTGGGATGCTGCAAGAAAAGATCAATCATCCATATATTGGTGGAAGTGGAGACCCAACAAATGCATCCTCCAGGTAAAAGCTCTCAGGACTCAGTTGAAAATATATGGATCCATTGCTATCCCAAAGAGAAGGGCCCAGATCGGAAAAATCTGACTTTCATAGATGAACTGGAGGAATCAATGGATGGATAGCAATTGGAATGTAGAGAAAAACTTCTAAAATATCAATCTTGTTTACCTACAGCCTGGGAGAGAACATTCATCTCAAACTGAGAAAAATATCCATCTTGAACTTGAAGGATGAGAGATCTATGACAGGTTACCACACTATTATGTTCTTGGGAATAAAAAAAGATGGAAGTAAAACCTCAGAGTGAGAGGTCAGGGCCTGTTCCACGACATTTGTTACTTGGAAAGAAGACATGGCCTCCTCCAGGAGCCAAAGATACAAGGGATCTGAGGTTGGTGGAAAAACAAGTGGAGAAGGAGAAAGAGCAGATTTAATGTAAATAAACTGGGTAAGCCTGTGGGTAAACACCTGTGTGATCCAAAAATCTTCTGCAAAGGGAGTCCACATTTGTGCAAAGAGGGAGATCTAAGCTCTCACTGGAATAGATCAAAATCATCTTCACAAACCACAGTGGACAGCCCTCCAGGGAGAAGAGAATTTAAAAGTAGTAAAAAAACAGGGGTAGATGTTTTTCCTACACTGATAATGTATTTCCAATAGGTACTTACCTCCTCTCGCACAAAGCTATCTCAATATTTGTCTGTCCTCTAAGCATTGCTAAAATAATTTTTGCAATAAATGCATCAGTCTATAACTCCATCAATTTAGCACCATATCTGAACATGTTCATATCATGTAACCACTCTCCACCAATAGTATTGATACATCTGTACCAGTGCAGTTATCTCCCTCTCCTATTCCTGCTCAATCCTCACTTTAGAGAATTGGCAGGCTCCAAAAGGAGAACACTGGCAATGGGGAGGAAGGGTGGGAAGTGTGTGAGAGGAGGCAAGTACCTATAGGAAATACATTTTCAGTGTAAGAAAAATGTTAACTTCCAACAGGGTCTTACCTCTACTCTCACAAAGCTAGGATCCCATGTTTCAAAGGTGGGAGAGGTAGAGTAGGCACACAAATATCAAACCAAGCAGAAAGCGACCACTTAGAATGAATGGGTGTGCTCAGAGATGAAAATGAAGTACACCTGTGGGAAACTGCACTACTTCTGGAACAGGTATGCTCTTTGCCCATGAAGTAGGAAATTAATCTGAAATGGGCAGAAAAGTAAAAGACTTGCAACAGCATAATTTGTTCTGAGAGATGCAAGTTGTAACAATATATATAAACAGAATTAGCTAGCTATATAACCAACCTCAACCAGATAAACGAGGTTCCATAACTCATCCTCAGCATTAGGAGATTGAGGAAGAAAAAAATCATAACAACAATATTGTGGCTAGGGCATGTGGACCATGTTATATATATATGTGCCCATCAACCCCAACCATAGGTAAATAGAGTGACATACTTCAAGCAACCAGAATTTCGAAGAGGAAGTGATCTTTCATTTGAAACCAGAAAAACTTCCAAAACAACCATAGGAGCAAGAAGTACGACAAATCAAGCCTAGCATTATGAAGTTATGGCATTACTTCAACTCAACCGTAAGAACAGGGTAGTAGCTATAACTGGTATTACAGGCAAAGTCATAATTCACCCAACTGTAAATGCAGGGAAGAGACATCCTGCATTTGCAATTACAAGGAAGGCGTGGAGCATTTGACCAAATGTAGGAACAGAGCTCATATATCTTATTGCCAATATTACGAGGCAGACAAAGTCTCCCAAACACAACCATAGGAGCAGGGAAAGAACCTCCTGCAACTGGAATTAACAAAAAAAGAGGCATCTACTTCACACAACTGTAGGAACAAGGAGTTGTCTTCCTGAACCTGGCATTACAAGAAGGATTCTATGTAGGCTGGACCTCCTCCATCCAACATATGTCCACCTGAGAAAAAAAAATCTAGGGGAAATAGAGGAGGGAAACTAGCTGTGCCCTCTTCTCACTGAGTGGATAATCATGAGTATGTATGGTAAAGTAAATTTCTAAACTCACTCTGGAGGAAGCTTTCATGGTCCACCACCACAGCGACTGGGAACTGAGGAAGTGGTAAGGACTCCATGCTCCACTGGAAGAAAAAGGAGATAGAAGTAAATGTGTTGGGGAGTCTGGAGGAACATTACACTGCAGAAAGTGCAATGGGTGTCCATGATTCCCTATTCTGAAAAGCAGACTGACTCCACTTTATTCAATCAAAGGGTAAAAAAAATCCCTTCTGCTTTACTCATGAAGTCCATGAGTGATGGTTCACCAGAGATTGAAATTTATTGATATGTAGCATATATATATATATACCACTGGGTATGCCATCAGTGGTCTTATGTAAATACCCCATTTCTACCGTGAATATTATAGTGCAATCAGTAAATTGTGCAGGTTTGAAGTAAAGCATACTTGACAAGGCAACATCCACCACAGAGTGGTATCCCATTATCAGATAGCCCAAGACTATGCTGAAACAACAGGAGAAAGAGAAAGAATGTCACATGCCTAAGTAATTAAAGCAGCAAAGGAAAAAGTGGGACTTCATATTTCTCATCAAGAAGAGAATAACCAGAAGCAAAAGCTAATTGGTATGAACAAATGGTCAAAACTATTGATAGACAAGGCAGGTTCAGCTATAGCATCAGAAGCAGGATATGAGATAAAGAATGTAGAATAGAAACAAAAACCTGATGCACAATGACAGTAACATCACTAACCATCAGAGTGCCTCCAGTTGTCATTGAATCAGAAGACAAATCTTGTGATGAAGTGAAAAGTCCTCGGGAATTCAGAAATATGGATATGGAATTAATTTTCAGAATGATCCATAAAACTTTTTTTTGTTATAGTTGTGGTAAGTTTTAGTTTAAAATAAAACTACTCAAGTACAAAACAAGAAGTGTTAGACAGTTAGGTTTAAAAGAAAGTTAAAGTAACAAATGTAATCGAAAAATCCTGTAATTCTAAATACAATGCAACAAATTCAACATGTCTGAATACAAGCAGTACTGAGGAAAGAATGAGCTTTTATTCCAATGCATGTACTTATGGGAATTACTGTGTGTAGAGGATATGTCACTCTGTTATTGATCGAGGGCTATTATCTAATGATGATTATATCATAGGCTGACACAGTAATATTAATACATAAGGTTTGTGGCATGCACAAAAATCTTCACAACAGTAGCATGAAGTAATAGTTCTTTGTTATTCAGAAAGGTAAGTATACATTTCTGTAACTATTGTACTCAGTTAAATCTGTAAAATATGCATAATGTCATTTGTGGTGAGTTCAAAAACAATAAAAGAAACTTATGCGTTATTTTATATGTAATAAATTATTAGATATCTCTTATTCACTAAGACACATAGTTACTTAGAGTAAGATTCTCAGCTGTAAGGTTTTCATTTGTCTTTTTAAAGTCTGTTTCCATTTCTGATATTTTCTTCTCATATGATTCTTTCTCAGAGTCATGGGCTTGTTGAAGTCCAATCAAACGATCCTGAAGCTCTGTCACTTCCACAGCTCTCTCTTGCAAAGCTTTCTTCAAGAACTCAACAATATCTTCTTTTTCTTCAACTTCCTTTTCATACATATACAGGTATTCCTCATTAGAAGCAAGCAGATTTGTGCACTCTTCCTTTTGTCTGTTTGGATAGTTAGAAGAATGTTTCAATGCATCAGCATTACTATGAATATAAACCTAATTACACAATATGTTAAAATAAACATCATTTTGGACATATACATACATATATCATAGTATTTAAAATTTAAAAAGTGAGTTACTTAAATACTTATTTGTAGACAGACCATGGAATGTGGGTTACACTAACATATATGAAACAGAAATATATTACCACTAAGCACAGTAGTGTTTAGCAAGTAGGAATGGGCAGAGACAAAAAATGGCTGCCACATTCAATCTATTACTCTATGATGCTTACAAGTAGCTGCTAAAGTTGAGTTGTAGCTTTACTTGAGCATCTAACTGCCATTATATTATCGAGTGTTTTACAGCTTGTGAGACCCAATATCATTAAAAATGTTGCTAAAGTGGAAAACTGGGAACTAGCTAAAGAGCCAAAGTGTTCATCTTTCTTTTTTCTTCTCCCAAGATAGCCAAAAAAATGAGTGAAGTTTTCTCAATGGTTTTAGTATAACAGAAAATAATTTTAAGAGTACTGGGAACAGGCTATCTTTAAGCACAGTAATGATTAGTATGTAGGGATGGGCCAAGAAAATAATGGCTGCTGCATTCAATCTATTACTCTATAATACTTACAAATAACTGCTAAAGTTGAGTTATTGCCTTATTTGATCACCTAATTGTCATTATCGAGTATTTCATACCTTGTATAACAGTAATATTATTCTGTTCTTTACCACATGTATTTTTTATGGGGAAGTAATAAAAATGGGTAAACTACTACTTAGCAGTGAGTTCAGTTATAAGCATATATTATTTCTATGTTTCATAATCAATAGTTTTATTTCTGGTCGCTAGATGGCAGCATAAATTAACAAAACAAAACAATATGTGACTGCTTTAAAGGGATGCGGAATTTTTGCGACCCCTACACTGTATACATCACACTCACATTCAACTGCCAAAGCCAGATGGATTCAGCAGTATATACTCTCATTGAATTATGGAAATAAAAGGAATGTTCACCTATCAATCTACTTAAATGAAATTGTTTGAAAAAAAGGAGGGGAACAAGTAATAAAAAAAAGTAGCAAAAATTAAGTATGATATAGGAATGGCAATGCCAAAAAAATACAGAAAAAAGGTAGGGATGAATACACAAAACCATACAAAAATCACTGCATAAGTAACCAAATTTTTCCAAGGATAACTTTGAGCTGCAGCTGAGTGTTGAATTCCTGTCAGTTGCATGAATTCATGTTTAAATAAAAGCATTTAATCTGAATAGTGC